TTCATATAATTTATCAAGTTTTTGCTACCACAATCAAGATTCTCAACAGTTCCTATCATAAATGCTCATGTTGCCCGTCCGTCTGTCCATCCATTCATCCATCCATCCATCCATCCATCCATCCATCCATCTCAGACAGGGTCTCACTGTGTAGTCCGGGTTGGCCTCAAACTCCCAGTGATCCTCCTGCCTCAGCCTCCCAAGGGATAGGGTGTGCACCACTATGTTTGGCCAAGTTGCCCTTTTATAACCATCCTCATACCTCTTCCTGCTCCTTCCTCTGTTCCCTGGCAACCATTATTCGTTTGCCATTTCTAAGTATAAATGTAATGAAGCAGTATGTTTGGGATTGTTTCTTGCGTGCAGCATAATTCCTGAGATTTAAATCACTGCATATATAAATACCTTTTTTAAAAGACATGGTCCTACCATGTAGTTCAGGCTTGCCTTGAACTTCCTTGAACTTGAAACCTCCTACCTCAGCTTTCTAGTTGTTGGAATTATAGGTATGTGCCACCAGGTTCAGCTTCAAGTAGTGTTTTGTGTGTGTGTGGTGTGTGTGTGTGTGTGTGTGTGTGTGTGTGTGTAACCAGGGATTGAACTCAGGACCTTGCACTTGCCAGGCAAGCTCTTACTCCACTGAGCTATCTCCCTGGCCCTCAAGTAGTTTTTTGTAGTTAAACTTTTACTTTGAAAATGTTTACATTCCCAACCCCAAAAGTCTTAATTTTGATGTGATCCAATTTATCAGATTTTCTTTTTTTATTTGGTTCTTTTTTTGTTTTGGTTTTTTCTTAGATAGGGTCTATGTATTTCAGTGTGAAATACACAGCTTATTACATAGTCCAGGTTGGCCTTGAACTCACAGCAATCCTTTTGCTTTGGACTCCTGAAAGCTAGAATTAACAGGTGTGCACCACCAGCTATGGATTGTGTTTTCAGTCTAAAATTACTTCCCAGTCCTATATGATTTTGCTAAGACTTCTATAATTTATGTTCTACATTTAAGTCCAAGATCTATTTTCTGTCTTATTAGGGATTAAACCGATTGCCTTGCACATCCTAGGCAAGAATTCTACTACTGAGCTACATTTCTAGCCCCAAATCTGCTTTAATTTTATATAAAATGTGAGATTTAGGTTGAAGCTCATTTTTCTCTCTGTGAACATCTAGCTGCTCCAAATCATTGGATGAAATGGCTAACCTTCCTCCATGGATTTACTTTAACTTTGTCTAAAATTAGTTGATCATACTAATTGAGATCTGGTTTTCTCTCTTGTTCCACTGATTGTTGTACTTATCATCATGCTGTCCTCTTCTCATTGTTATCAGCTGTCTTGATTATAGCAGTAAAGTAAGCATAATACACAGTTGAGTAACTCCTCCAAAATGTTTTCTTCAGCAAGGTTGTTTTAGCTATTCTAGGGCCTGTGCTGGGCAATACAAATCTTAGAATAAGCTTGTCTGTGTCTATAAAAAAAATCTTGCTGGACTTTTCATCACAATTATATTAAATTCATAGATAGTGAGAGACGAAGTTCTTCCTATGTCGAGTTCTTCATTTAATATGTCTCTCCATTTATTTAGGTTTTTGAATTCTTTTCAGTATTCTGTAAGTTTCTGTATTTGTTAAGTTATACACACACTGAGGGACCCACTTATTTTAAAGTAATGAATGTGGGCCTGGGGTGATAGCTCAGTAGAATAAGCGCTTGCCTGGCAAGCGCAGGGTCCTGGGTTCAATCCCTGGGGGCCCGCCCACTAGCTCAGTTGTTTAAGTGCCTGCTTAAACAAAGTAGTCAGTCTCTGGGATCCGTGGTTCAATTCCCGCATTCTTAAGGCAATCCAGACCAGCCCTGGAGGCAATCTGGAGCCGCCAAAAAAAAAAAAAAACAAAAACCTTCTGGGTTCAATCCCTGGTACCACAAATAAATGAATAAACAAAATAATGAATGTTCACATAAAGAAATATGACTTTTACCCTTTATGCCCCTTATTTTGTAATGTTAGGATTGAACCCAGTGCTTCACAAATTATAGGCAAGCATTCTACACTTGAGCTATGTCCTCAGATCAAAATATAATTTTTGTGCACTGACTCTGATACACACCTATTTTGGAGGTGCTACAGGTTGAATAAATAGAGTGTGATGATTTTGTATCTTCCAATCTTGTTGAACTCATTGATTGTAGTTTACTTGTACATTTCTTTTTCTTTTTGCAGAACCAGGGATTGAACTCAGGTCCTTGTGCTTGCCAGGGAAGTGCTTATTCCACTGAGCCATCTCCCCGGCCCCATTTGTACATTTCTTGAGGTTTTTTTTTTTTTTTTTAAATATTCTTTATTAATTAATTAATTTATTTATTTATGTGTGTGTGTGTGTGTGGCCAGCTCAGCCCACCAGGGGGCGGGGCTGGCTGGCATGTGGTGCTGGGGGATTAGAACTGTGGTCCCTGTGCTTTGCTAAACTTGTTCTAAGTAGGTGCTTTAGACCACTGAGCCATCTCACCAGCCCTGTTTTTTTTTAAAGACAGGGTTTTGCCATGTAGTTCAAGCTGGCCTCAAACTCTCAGCGATCCTACTGTCTTAGCCTCTCTGGTGCTGGGATTACAGCTGTGTGTCACAGTTGGCCTCTTAAAATTTTTCTATTGTAGACAGTCATGTAATCTTTTGTTTATTTTCTTGCATTACTATAATAATTAGAATTACTAGTACTCTGTTCAGTGATACTAAATAGCTGGCATCTTTGCATCATTTTCACATTCCCAGTGGTTTTCAGTCTTCTCCCATTGTGATATTATCTGTAGAAGGTTTTTTGCTTGCTTTTTGCAGATATGGTGCTTCCTGAAGGTGAGATAATTCTGTTATGAAACTTGCTGACAGTTTTTATCATGAATGAGTATTGGGCTGTCAAACGCTTTTTCTATATCAACTGATATGATCATAATTTTCTTCTGTTGGCATGACAGACTACATTGATGATTTTTTTAAAATGTTAAACTATTTTTATATTCTGATTACATCTTCTTCTTTTTTTTTTTTTTTTGGTGGAACCGGGGATTGAACTCAGGCTCTTGTGCTCGCCAGGGAAGCGCTTATTCTACTTAGCCATCTCCCAGTTTTGTTACAAAAATAGGAACCAATAAAGAAGCACATAAACACAATATATCAAGAATTAGGTTTCATTTCTTTAAATTTTGTAATAAATTCATTTTAACCATATAAACATGTATTAGATGGGTCCTAGTCCATAAAGAGGTAAAGAAATGAGTAAAACATATGATTAATTTATAGTACTAACCTCTTGCCTTAAGAAAGGATTTTCCTTTTTGAGTTCCTCAGAAAGATCTTCTCCCTCCAGCCACTCTTTCATGCCAGTCTGCTCTGCCCAGGCATTCACAGTTGCTAGGGCAGCAGCACGAACATTGTTCTGAATAGAGAAGAGAATTGGCAAAAATAATTACCAACTACAGTTTGGAGCTTGAAGAAGGAAGACTTTATTTTATGAATGTGAATAAAAATTTCTCTAAGATCTATGCAGACATGCTTGGAACTATCTTTTCTGAAACCAGATACTAGTTCTATCATTGTACAAAAACTCCAAGGGAAAGTAAAAATATAAAACTAAATTAAAAACTTGTATAGTCAGTTAATTAGGTAAGTCATTGATCTATCCATAACACAACATGTAAAAAACATGAACTTTCAATTTTTTTTTTTGCAGAACCAGAGATTGAACTCAGGCCCTTATTCTACTGAGCCATCTCCCTGGTCCCTCAAATTTTATTTTCTGAATCTCCCAATAATTTATGACTTTCTGCTAAAGAATCGAGCATTCTTCATGTTAGCAATCTCAAAATGGTTAAGACTAAAATTACTACCCTTGCAACTATTTAAATTATGTCTTATGTTACTTTGCATTTACAGAATGAGACATTGAGAAAAGTTTAAAGATAGTTCAATTCCTCAAGTTAAATGAATTACACAAAAATAGAGAAATTGAAATACTTAGGGAGGGGCTAAGTAGAAAAGGTGTGTTGTAACCCTCAATCACACTTAAATGACTTCTATAACTGTGAAAGTACAGATAGATACTTAACTGAACCTTGCCCTAGTAGTTCAGGGCAAAAAGAATAAAAAGAAAAACTTCAAAATCCCCAGACTCATATAATTATTCACTAGAGCAAAACTTTATATAATGATAACAACCACAAATAGCAGTCATTTATTGAGTGCATAATACATCAAAGAGGAACAATATAAGGTACCTTGTACATTCCATTCTCTAAGAAAGAAATTTCACAGATAAAAAAACCTGAACTTTAGAGAGGACATGAAACCACGAAAGCATCACAGCTAGTAACTGACATATCTAGTACCCTTAATACTCGCTGAAATATAAACATGTTAACTGTTCCCCAATATTCTCATCTTTATAAACCTGTAAAGATTTACATGTATTCTAGAAAAGAGAACTATCCTTAATTCGAGAATGTGACTGGCCTACTCTCGAACAGAGCTGTGAATAGAGTTGGCTTACCTTGCTGTCCCCAAGGACTGTGATGATAGGAACACCCAAGTTCTTTACGTGCTGCTTGATGTTTGGGCCCATGGCTACTGCTAGCTGCTGGAGGATATTCAGTGTCTGCTGCACCTAAGTAGAAAAGACAACGCTTTATGTTCAAACCATTAGCACGCTATACTCAAAAGCTTTTGCATGACTGTTGTTATAGTCAACATAGGTTTCTGTGAGACAAGGAAATTCCCTTGTGATCTCTTTCTAATTAGCTTATGAATAATTTTCACGCCTTTTTTTATTTTCTTCTGTACAAAAAATTGAGCCCTGGGGTGCGCTAACACCATCTATAATCCAAGTCCTTTATTTGGTTTTGTCTTGTTTTAAGACAGGGCCTTGCTATGCAGTCCAGGCTGGCCTTGAACTTTCAATCCTCTTGCCTCTCAGCCTGCCAAGTCACTAGGACTGGAGGCAATAGCTACTGCAACTGGTTATCTCTCTTTTTATCATCAGTTCAAAAAACTGTATTATAAGAATTTCAGAGCACCAGTCATAGTAGTTTACAATTTTATTTACTTTATTTATTTTTTAAGAATTATCACATTCTTTTTTTAAAAAAAATTATTTATTTATTTTTACATTTAGTGTGTGTGTGTGTGTGTGTGTGTGTGTGTGTGGCCAGCTCAGCCCACCAGGGTGGGGGGCTGGCTGGCATGTGGTGCTGGGGGATCGAACTGCGGTCCACTGTGCTTTGCTAAGCTTGTTCTAAGTAGGTGCTTTAGACCACTGAGCCATCTCTCCAGCCCCTTTATTTACTTTATAATTTCAAGTCTGAGAAAAGTGACATAGCTCAGTGGCATAAATGCCTGCCTGGCAAGTACAAGGTCCTGAGTTCAATCTCTGGTACCAAGAAAAACCCCAAAACAAACAAAACCTTACAAAAATCCAAATTGAAAAATTAAAAAATAGGTATGTTTCTATATAAGTAGTTTCATACAGAGATATTTAACATCAGATTCCCATAAAAAGCAAATTCTGAAACTTATGAAAGCTTAATAAACCTGAATTATCCTGAGATACACTTTAGAAATTAAAAGATAGCATTTCTCGTTCAAAATAAAGTGATCACTAAGTTTTTACTAGTGAAGGCTTCACTGAAAAGGAAACTCCTATAGCAAGAGGACAGGGGGAAAAAGAAAAGGCTCTACGTACCAGGATTTTATTTGAATCGTTGAGTCGACCCTTCAAGGCAGTTGGAAGTTCACCTATATTTGGTTGGATAAATTTTGCTTCATTGATAATACTTGCTACTTCATCTAGTCCTTCCTTTCTGATCTTCCAATTCTTGTCACCAATCTTAGACACCAACTCTGAGGTAATTTTATCACTGAAAAATAAGATATAACTTGTAATTCTAGACTCCACAAGTTTCCTCTACTGAATTAAAAATAAGAAGATACCATTAAGAATTTAGCCCGATGAATCAAATTGTTCCTGGGAGTGAAACCTACCTGATCTCTGTCCTTGGCAAAAGATCAACAATATCATTGCCCCCATCATCTGGTTCATCTCCATCCTCTCCTTCATCTGCACCCCCTGTGCTATGCTTAGAAAGGCCTCTGGTTGGAGTGGGTGGGCTCTGACCCTGCATCTACACACAAATAAAGGAGGCAAGAGAATGATGAGCATGACAACAAACAGGCTGTTGCGGGTACCTGTGTCCATGTTCTCATTCTGCCATGATGCTTACTCGTACAATGAAGTTTTTCATGCCTACTTTAATTTTCAGGACACACAGCAAAAGTTATCTTCATACACACTTTAGGCTCTGACTTCTCAGTCATGATGTTGTCTTTTGACCTGTATGCCCCACACAACTCAGAGAAAATCTAACACCAAGGAATCTCAGAAGTTATTCAGGGAGGTTCCATACTTTTTTAAAAAAAATGAATATTGGAATAAATCAATATATTGAATAAATTAAAAAATATATGAAGAGGGCCTAGGCAAGTGCAGGGATTAGGGTTTGATCCTGGGTACCACATGCCACACTGGCCCTACGCCCCAGGGTGCTGAGCCAGACACCGAGTCCAGGTGTGGTGGTACACGCCTGTAATCTCAGCGCTGGGAAGGCTGAAAACAGGCGAATCACTATGAGTCCAAGTTATGTAGTGAGACCCTGTACCAAATATAATATATATATATATATATATATATATATATATATCTCCTCTCCTATACCATAGTTACCTAGTTATCTTCCTCACAAACTCATCAATTTCTTATGAATTCTTCTAGGGAAACTTTATACACATAAAAGCCAACACACATTCCTCTCCCACCCCAAGACAGACAGGGTCTCATTATGTAGTTCAGGCTGGCCTTGTACTCACTAGGGACCCCATCCTGGCCTTACCAGTGATCCTCCTGCCTCAGCCTCCCAAGTGATGGGATTACAAGGATGTGTCACTACCCCTGTCAATCTGCATATATTCTTTTTTTTTTTTTTTAATTTTTATTTATTTATTTGTGCGTGTGTGTGTGTGTGTGGCCAGCTCAGCCCACCAGGGGGCAGGGCTGGCTGGCATGTGGTGCTGGGGGACTGAACCGCGGTCCCTGTGCTTTGCTGAGCTTGTTCCAAGTAGGTGCTGTAGACCACTGAGCCATCTCACCAGCCCCTGCATATATTCTTTATTCCAAAGGTTTGACAATATTAGTCTTTACTATGAGATTACAAATTCATCAGTTGGATTGCATCATTTGTGGACCTTTTTTACCTTCTCAAATTCTGCATCTATCTGTGACAGGAGGGCAGGCTTCTCATCCTCAAAGAACATTCGTAAAGAGGGACCAACATACAGATACATCACACCAAGTAAAGTGATGGCAGCAGTCCTCACAGCCTGCCAAAAAGAACCAAAACAACTTTCCAAATCAGAAGAGAAATACGGTGGTTAACACCCCCATATTATAGATGCTGGGATATACTCACTGGGTTTGTGGCAGCAAGAGCGGTTTTCACATTACTAATGAAAGCTTTGACGTTCAACCTAGAAAGAACATTTACAACAGAACACAGACATATACATAAAACCTTAAAAATATTCAACAGTATTTATGAAGGCAGACTTTGGAAGAGTTTAGTTTCTTTCTACATTCACTTTAAAGTGACCTTTTGACACAATCCAAACATTGATTAATACTATTGTTTAATTAAGACTCCTGAAGTCCAGGTTCACATTCTCATCTGATTTTGCAACCCTTGCCACACACCTTGTCTATGATGCTGATGATTGAGCTCAGGCCCCGCACATGCCAGCCATAGATCCATCATTAAGCCCACTGCTATGCCCAGGCTGACCTTGAACCCAGTCCTCCTGACTCAGCCTCTGCCAGTCATAGCTGGGATTATAGGTAAGAGCCATGATGTCTGGAGTGACATTTCCATTTTATGTCTAGCAGATACCTATATCCTGTACATCAAAATCAAACCGATTTCACTCTCCAGACCCCAAACCTGTTCTCCCACTGTTCCCTCCAACTTTTTCTCCCAAGTGCTTAGGCCACTCTTAGTAACCACATCATTCTTGACTAACCTTTCTCTTCCGCCCAACGTTCCATTCAGGTCTATTTTCAAACGATATCCCAAGTTACAGCACTTCCACTTTATAACCTTCCAAGCCACTATAACTTGTTGCAGGATTATCAGAATAGCCTACTAATCTTATCTTTTTTTTTTTTTTAATCTTTATTTATTTGGTACAGGTTCTCATGGCTCAGACTCAGCTCAGATTGGTAGTGATCCTCTTGTCTCAAGCCTCCTCAGCACTAGGATTACAGGCATGTGCCACCATGCCTGGTTTTGGTGGCTAGTGCCACACACTGCCACTGCCAGCACATGGCATTACAGTCCCTACTAATCTTATCTTTGACTATAGTCAGAATGATCTTGTGAGTCTCCTGCTCAACTCTTTCCCACTGTTTCAACCTTTCCCACTTTTTTTTTTGGCAGTATGGAGGATGGAAACCAGAGATGTTGTACCACTCAGCTATACCCTCAGCCCATGTGTATTTATTTATTTATTTATTTAGTGTGTGTGTGGCCAGCTCAGCCCACCAGGGGGCGGGGCCGGCTGGCATGTGGTGCTCGGGGATTGAACCGTGGTCCCTGTGTTTTGCTTAGCTTAGCTTGTTCTAAGTAGGTGCTTTAGACCACTGAGCCATCTCACCAGCCCAGCCCATGTGTTTTGAGAGAGGGTATTACTAAGTTGCCCAGGTAGGACTCAAAATTTTGATTTTCCTGCCTCAGGCTCTCAGAATGCTCTGATTATAGATGTTCACCACTATACCCAGTTTATTAAAAAAAAAAAAAAAAAAGAAAAAAGAAAATATATATGCATAGGCATATATACAGATATTTGCCCCTTACTCAAATATATGTTTATGTAAACAGGAATTTAATTTTGTCCATGATGCATTCCAAGGGCCTGAAACAAACAGAGCAGTGTACTCAACTGAGTAAGTGAAAGAACACAGATAAAAAAGAGGTAAATATGCACTTGGCTTTCATGTGACATGCCAACAGATTAATTTTACATCAAAATTGTACATTTGAGCCAAGAATGTAGCTCACTGGTAGAGTGGCTGCCTTGCAGACATGAAGACCTTGGCTTAATTCTGCACTGTGTAAGAGAAAAGAAAGGAAGAGAGGTGTGGTGATACACATGCTCAGGAAGCTTAGGCAGGAAGATCACTGTAAGTCTGAGGCCAGCCTGGGTTACATAGTGAATTCAAGATTAGCCTGAACTACATGGTAGACCCTGTCTCAAACATAAAAAAGAAAAAGGGATAGAGAGGGAGGGAAGAGAAAGGAAAGAAAAAAAACTTGTGTAATTATGCAAGAATTATAACAACATCTGCTACGTATGGTGGTACATGCCTGTAATCCTAGCACTTGTGAAGCTAAAGTAGGACAGTAGAAAGTTGGAGGCCAACTTGGGTTATATATTGAGTTTGAGACCTGTGTGAGTGCTGGCCTGGCAAGCACAAGGTCCAGAGTTCAATTTGTTACTGAAAAAAAAAAAAAGACCTGTCTGAACTACATAGGCAAGAGCTTAGATTAAAATAACAACAGGAGGGATTATAACAATATCCTCAGGGCTGGGGAGATAGCTCAGTAGAGTAAGTGCCTGCCTGGCAAGCACAGGGTCCTGATTTCAATCCTTGGTGCCGCAAATTAAAAAAAAATATCCTCAACTACAGAAGAACACAGATACTGCCATGAAAAGCCAATTTTTACTTGAATGATAACTGAATGATGACTTCTACAGTAGTATTTCTTTAATAAGTAGAATTAAAATACTGTTTTCTAAGATAGTAACAGTGTAAATGAGAAGTAGAAAGATACAGAGAAGGGCAATACAGTACAGCAATTACAGGGTCTCCTGAAATAAAAAATTCCTGGATTCAAATCTTGGCTTTGACACTTGGCTAGCTACACATATGACACAGATAATTGAAGCTTTCTGTGCTTTAGTTCCCTTATCTACAAACCGAGGGCAACAAAAGGCCACAGGTGGTTTTCTGAGGATTATAACAAATGAATTACTGGAAGCGTGCTTTAGAAAGTAAGTGCCTGGCCTGGCCATAGTCAGCACATCTATTATATTGGCACTCAGGCAGGATGATCACTGTCACAAAAAAAAACTGTCTGGGATAAAGAAAGTTCTGGGTTTTTTTTAAATTTTATTTATTTATTTGTGTGTGTGTGTGTGTGCGTGTGTGTGCGTGTGTGGCCAGCTCAGCCCACCAGGGGGCGGGGCTGGCTGGCATGTGGTGCTGGGGGATTGAACCGCGGTCCCTGTGCTTTGCTAAGCTTGTTCTAAGTAGGTGCTTTAGACCACTGAGCCGTCTCATCAGCCCCAGCTCTGTTAAATTTTGTTAACTGAAGTAAACAAGTATTTTCTATATATAAGTCTGAGAAACAGTGAATTAAAATAAATAAGCTCTTCAGTTGAAAGATTTCTGAGAGCACTTATTTTTTTTTCCCCCAGTGTATTCCTCTTTATTCATTTTCCGAGTACCAACTTAAACTTGGATAGGTTGAATTAACCCAACCCACCTCTGGCAGGTATACTCAACAGAGCACTTAATTCATCAAAGTGCCTTGCAAGTTGCAGAACAAATGTGGGCATATGTATTAATGTCTAATGATTAGACTAGAAATCCCTGGAATTGGCTTTTCTGTGGGATAACACTTGAGGAAAAATAACTTAGAAAACTCTTTTAGAAGATATCAAAATTCCAGACAGATGTGATACAGAATTTATAAACAAATGTTTCTTCCTTTTCTATAGACAACTCAGCACTAGCTTTTCTAAAAATAAGCACAGTCAGCCAGATATAGCGGTACCTGCCTATAATCCTAGCACATGGAAGGCTGAGGCAGGAGGATCACCATGCCCAGGAGGCCAGCCTGGGCTACTTAGTGAGCCAGGCTGAAGTACATAATAAGGCTGTCTCAAAACAAACCAAAAAAGCCCCAAACCAACCATAACAGTAGAGGTAGCTATGACATATATGATATGATCACCAATTAGAGATTCGTAAAACATGTAATAATTTTCTACTTGATTTTGTTCTGACTTACCCACAAAACCCAAATTCTTTGATTGCATTTGATAGCCAATTCAGAGTTTCTGACTGGTTCTTGGGGTTCTTCTGTGAGAAAGCCATTGACATAACCTTTCAGGGGAAAAACAACAGTGAATCTGTGTCTTCTCTTACATTTCTTGGAGAAATGTTACATGCTTTTAAGGTGCACATGGATTAAACATGGCTTTTTTGACACTTAAACCACTAAAAAAAGGATTTAGAAACAAAAGATTTAGCTACAAAAGGAAAAAGTAAGAGATACAGTAGTGGTGTTAAAAGCATAATGAACTATTTACAACCTTGCACTAGTGTTCATTCTGGATTATATGGTCTTATGAAAAAAGTACTGTCATCTTCTCTGGACTATTCTTAGACAAATTTCTACTATCAGGCAACAGTGTATTATCAAGGCAGAAATTAAAATACAGTATCAAAAATAGTTTTAAGATTAGGAAGCTTACATTGAACTTTGAAGGAAAACTAGGACAATTTGGGGTAAGAGAGCTGTGTCACTAACCTGCTCAGCTGTCCAAGGCAACATGCAAGCCTCAGCCATCGCTGTCATGGCTTCTTTTGCGTTATTTCCACATTTCACATCTCCAATCTTGTCTACAAGGCCATCTAACACAATCTGAGCTGAAGTTTTGGAAAAATGTCCCTTCTGAGCAATCAAAGCAACTATGTGAAGCTTCATCTGCATCACCTGAGTGAGAACAATCATCATAAAGCTGTAAGTCAGCAGAAGACATTCATTTATTTACTCATATAGCAGGCGGAAGCTGTAATGTAGTTATTTTTATTTTTTAAAATTTATTTGACACAGGGTCTCACAATGCAGCTCAGACTTATAACGATCCTCTTATATCAGCCGCCCCAGTGCTGGGATTACAGGTGTGCATGATATCAGGCTAGTATGGAGCGCCTGGACTCGGGGCGGCACAGCATGTGGTACTGGGGATCAAACTTGGGTCCTTCAGTTTGCCAGGAGGTGCTTAGACCACTGAGCTATCTCCCTACCCACCCCCTGTACCACCTTATGGATCACTGAAAAAATCAAAATGAAAGCAGAAATTTATTAATTTTATTTTTAAAGAGAATACAAAAATAGTAAGAAAAGCATTCCCAAATGCCCATCACCTGAGGAATGGATAAAAAAAGAGGTGGTATTTTTACACAATGAAGTATTACTCTGCTATAAAGAAAGCAGAAACTTATTTTTATTTTTAAAATTTTTTTGCAGTACTAGGGATTGACCTCAGGACCCTGCACTTGCCAGGCAGGTGATTTATTCTACTAAGCTATCTTCCTGGCCCCAGAAATTTAAAGAAGCAAAAAAAATTTAATCCTTTAACTGATATCAAAGCAGCTAACTGCCAATGAAGAGAAAAAACAAACAAACAACAAAAAACTCCCAAATACTCCATGTTCCAAAACAGGAAAGTTTATGAACTGAAAAATATGATTTATATATTGCTACTCTGATTATTTGGGTTTTTAAAATAATCTGAATACATAGTTTAAAATACATAATAAACCACCTCACTGACTACATAACTCAGCACTATCCTGCAGCTGCCACACAAAACCTACACATGCAGACAGCACAGAACTTAGGAAATTTTAGAGAACATATAGGGTTTTTTTTTAAATTTTTATTTATTTATTTGTGTGTGTGTGTGTGTGTGTGTGTGTGTGGCCAGCTCAGCCCAACAGGGGGGCGGGCTGGCTGGCATGTGGTGCTGGGGGATTGAACCGCGGTCCCTGTGCTTTGCTAAGCTTGTTCTAAGTAGGTGCTTTAGACCACTGAGCCGTCTCACCAGCCCCATATATAGGGTTTTTAAGTTGGAAAACAGCTTAAAGATATTAATGTGATGACAGACACATGAGCCTAAGAACACTTGCCCTATAAGTATTTTCTTTTGTAGTGTCTGAATATTTTATTTACTTTGTTCAGCTACTAGAAATTCTAACAGATCCATTTATATCTTTTAAGATTTAGTTATCTTAGCTTGTTCTAAGTAGGTGTTTTAGACCACTGAGCCATCTCACCAGCCCCAAGATTTAGTTATCTTAGACAGGACTTCTGAGTTGCAAACTTCTGGAAAGTTGATCCTCATAAAAACAGTAAGAACACTGGTAAGAACTGTCATCATTCTTTCAGAGCCCTCAAAATTAACCAAAGGCTTGAAAGAATACAAAAGAAACGTAAGAAGAGCTACCAAATCTCAGTAAGAATCACCCTTCTGGTAATTAGCCTTATTTTCATCCTCCTCTTCTCACCACCAAGCAGCCTTCAAAACTGGCAGTCAAATTCTCTGAAAGACTGAGCTAGGAAGATGTCAAGTTCGACCCCAGGCTGGGCAACTTAGCAAGACCCTGTTTCAAAGTTTTTTTAAAAGGGGCTGGGGATATAGTTGAGTGCAAAGATCCTGGGTTTAGTCCCTAGTACCGCAAAACAAAACTACATGTCCCAGAAAACCCCAACAAACAAACAAAAACAACCCAGCAGTCTCACAACCATGGCAAATATAAAATTTGTAACTATATATTATAGTAAAATCTATTTTTTATTTATAAATATTACTTATCTATATTTTACTTATAGTAAAATCTGTAATTATAAAGTCACTAAGTCCAGCAGACCAAGTGTGGAGCTCTACTCAAAAAAATGTCAACCCAAAGCATTGTCATTACGTGAGCATCTGGCAGTTTCCTGCTAATGTGCCATCTGACCTGACTCTAGCTTGCTCACTGGGGCAAGTCCTATTCCTAGGGAATTTGCCAAAATCAGTGACAACTGTTCAACATCTAACATTGCAGCTGTCGGATGATGCTATACCAGTTGAGGCAAAGGAACTTGTTCAAATTAAAAGGAAGATTTGGAGAGTAAAATGTCCATAGGAGACTGAAAAGCTCCTATATATTCTAAGAATCTAGGAGCCATGACGATATTCAAGGCTGTATGCAGACTGAGGAAAGACACAAAAGGGCCCTCTTAGCTCTGTCCTTAGATCCTGTGTAAAGAGAAGTGAAGCTTAAGGTGAAATTATTAAACTTGGATCACTGAAGGGGTGGCCAACACACACACACACACACACACACACACACACACACACACAGACCCTCTGGTGAGGTGGAAGACTAGTTTAGAAATGTCAGGAAACATCTCTCTAGCAAGTGGTGATGAACCTATGCCATAAGTGGGCTATCTGTGCTACTGAAAGCTCCAAAAGGTTCACCATCACTGTGTCACTAACAGACCATTAAACCAAGTGAGTAGAGACCTTAGTGGCTGCAAACTGAAACAATGAGATTATACTTCATAATCCCTAGGATGACTGGAATTTTAAAAACAAAAGATGAATTCATTAGTGTGTGGAGAAAATGTAACCTTCATTAATTGCTGGAATGAATGTAAAATGTTGTAATTACTTTGGAAAGTAGTTTTATCAGTTACTCAGAAGTTAAACATAGACTTGTATGACCCCAACAACACTACCCAAGAAATGAAACTCTGTTAAAATAAAAATTTATATAGAAATGTTTGTAGCAGCATTAGTGACCACTGTTAAAAAGCTGAAACAACCTACATGCACACTGACTAATGACCAGAGAAATAAAATATGGTATAACTACACAGTGGAATGTTATTTGGCAATAAAATCTGTTATATGCTATAATATAGATAAACTTTGAAAATGCTATGCTAAGTAAAAGTCAGACACAAAAGCCACCTACTAAACGATTCCATGTCCAAGAGAGGTAAATTCATAAGGGACAGGAAAGTAGATTAACAGTTAAGGGGGACTAGAGGGTAGGGAAGAACAGAGTGACTGCTACTCAGTATAGGGTTTCTTTTAGGAGTGATGAGGACATTCCAATAGAGTTGCAGAGCTCTATGAATATACTAACCACTGCACTGGAAAACTGAGTTTCACACTTTCTGCAGTTATACAATATACATACATTAAAATTATCCTTTGTTTTGGATCTAACACAGAAGGGTTCCACTGGTCAGGTAAGTTCCTCTAGCCACCTAACAGCTGCACACAGAGGAGGTCTGAAGTGGCCACATGAAGCGGGAGGGCAGGGTGAGCCTCACCACCACTCAGCCGTGTGCGTCAGGTGATCTGGCCGAGGTGTCAACACACAGAGGTGCCTGGGGAACACAGTGTATGTGGGAGCAAGAGAGAAAATAGGAGGTATGGAAGAGAAACAAAAAAGGTACTAGCAGGATGTAAAAAATAAACTGGCATATTTCAAGTTTAGTACAAGCTCTCTTCTAGGTACATCTAAGTGAACAATCCTGTCATTTTCGTAAGCCTCCCTTATCAACCATTTTTACAAAATTATTTATTCTTGTTAGTAAGTACTATACATGTTTGTAGAACACAATGACCACATTCATCATTGGAGATTTGTACATCACTTTTTTTTTTTTTTGTTTGTTTTTGGGACAGGGTCTCACTACACAACTCAGGCTGGCCTTAAGCTCACTTTGTAGTCCAAACTGGTCTGACTCACAAACATCCTCCTGCCTCAGCCACCCAAGTGCTGGGATTACAGGCATGCTCCATCATATCTGGCTATACATCAATCTTAATTCTTTTTTTTTTTTTTTTTTTTTTTTTTTTTTATGTGTGTGTGTATGTGTGTGTGTGTGGCCAGCCCAGCCCACCAGGGGGCGGGGCCAGCCGGCATGTGGCGCTGGGGGATCGAACCCCAGTCCCTGTGCTTCGCTAAGCCTGTTCTAAGTAGGTGCTTTAGACCATGAGCCATCTCACCAGCCCCCCCCCCCCATTTAAAAAGTCTATTTTCTGTTTTTGATTTTCAAGAAAGGGTCATGAAGTGTAGATCAGCCTGGCCTTGAACCCATGGTAATCCCCCTGCCTCAGCCTCCTGAGTGCTGGGACTAGAGGTATGTGTACCAACTCCCTGCTCTATTTCCATTTTTCCCCCTTCAATTCTTTTTACTCTAAATCTCTTCTTTTATTCTTTAAACCCCTTCTTTCTCTTCCTTGTATCTTGTTCTCCTCATTTAAAATAGCTTTTTACTTATTATCTCCCATTTTCTTCCTTATTTATGCACTGGGTTTGTCATATAAGAGAAACAATGCCATATTTAAATGGGTGTATCTGTTTTACTTAGGATTATGGTCACAAGGTACATCCATTTACCTAAAAATGTCTCAAATTTATTCTTTATAACCGAGTAGCACTCTACTGTATATAAGTACCATATTTTCTTTAGCAACTCATCTGTTGATGGACATATGATCTGTTTTCAAGATTTAGCTCTGATAAATTGTATTGCTATAAATATAGGTAAGCATATATCACTGTGGCATTGAGGAGCTTAAACTCTTTCAGGAAGATATGTAGAAATGGAATAGGTGAGTCAAATGGACCCTCTAGTTTTAGGGGAATCTGCATACTGCTTCCCACATTGGCTCAACAATGATTTATTCTTTTATTTCATTATTTTTCATACTGGGAATCAACCTAAGGATTTTGTACTTGCCAGGCAGGAGACCTCAGCAATCACTTTTTTAAACTAATAATTTAGTATTTCTAAGTCTTACTGTATTATTAATTAATAAGGTTATAAAAGATGAGGCAGTAAAATTTCACTGGAAATTTAAGGACTATACTTATATTTTACCTAAATAAACAGGAAAGCTATTTCTTTGAGACCTAAAAAATAGGAAGGAGGAAGCTAGGGCACAGGGGCTTGAATCTGCAGTGCCAGCTACTTCAGAGAATGAAGCAAGAGGATTGCCTGAGCCTATGAGATTTGAGACAAAAGGGGCAATATATTGGGACCTTGTCTCAAAAAACAAAAATAAATAAAAAGGTAGTGAAGAGAGCACATAAATAAATCACACAAATTATACAATTTTTTGCATTTATCTAACCTAATTACATAAGTTTCTCCATAGGAGGATGTAAGAGAAATTACTCCAATAAAGACATTAAATCTGTAACTAAAAAAATACCTGAAAATTGGTTTCTTTCCATCCAGGTTTTTTGGCCAGCATCCTCACTAATGCCTGGCATGGCATTTCAGTTCGGTCCATCAGTTCAACAGCCTTGAAGTGAAATAAGATGGTAAGAGAGTTAAAGGAGGTAAAGATTAGTTTCAAAGGTGGGGTAAACACTAGAACCAAGAAAGCGGTTACCTACCTGTACAGAAGAAAGAGGAATAGAATTGAGTAAGGTGATAGAGGAAGCTTAGTTTCTGTCATAATCAATCAATCAATCAATCAATCAATCAATCAATCTATCTCCCTCTTTCCTTATTAACTTACTTCAAGAAAGGGCTTTACTCTATAGTTTAGGCTGACCTTGAATTCATTCATGCAGCCTAGACTGGACTTGAACTCACAGTGATCCTCCTGGCTCACCTCCCAAGTGCTGGCATTACAGGCATGTTGTACCATACTCAGTGGTTTTTGGTTTTTTTTTTAAACAAAGTTTTCCTATGTAGATATTGGTCTCAAACTCATGATTCTCCTATCTCCTGCCTCAGCCTCCAAAGTACTGGTATAATATGTATGTTCCAGCATACCTGGTGTAATGAATCATTTCTTAAAGTAGGTGCTTAGTATATGGTATCAGTGAAACTTACTATAATTGCATTTTAGGAATTTACAAATAATTAGCTCCAAGGAAAGTAACAGCAATAGTTTTCATTTGTTTAGTAGGTGGCAAAAACTGCTCATAAATATTTTGTATTGATTCTCCTAAAATATAAGTTACACAGGGTACAAATAGTTAAGTATTAAATTTCAAAGTACAAACTTAGGTCTAATGCACTTCTGTAGCAGATATAGGACTGAAAGGTTCCTGACTAAAGTCCCACTGCTCTTTCAAATTCTTTAGTGTCTTATTTTCATTAGAATCAGACAGTATCTGCCCCAAGGAGCCACCATGTACATTTCCAACACAGTGGATTAGCACATAAAAGCATTAACATGTTTAAGTGGAGAGATCTGTGTGCTTAATAAGTTTATCAGTACTATAATCTAAAAATGCACCTAAGCCATATAATTCAGAAGGATTTTTTTTTCTTTTTTGCTCCGAATGCCTTCCGGGCAGGTTTGGCTGGCTTGAGTTGTGGGGACTGAACTACGGCAACCTGAGCCTGACTGCTTTGTTGTTGAAGCAGCCACTTAAAGAACTGAGCTAAGGGGCAGGCCCCCAAGCCATATAATTCAGAAAAAGAACCTAACATGTTAAAAAGTAGTTATGAGCTTATAGAAACAACAGAATGCACATGTTGAAAGATAAAACACTAAACAGCTACAATAAAGTCCCTTGTCACCTTTAGTTAATGCTGTGAAATATATTCATTGGTTATCCATTCATCCCTGCATACCCACCTTCTGGAACTCTTCCATGCAGGCTAGCCTTTCCTTCCAGTTACTGCTGTCAAGCAGCTGTATACAGGTAGGGGGAAGGACAGCTGAAGCTTTTTCTTCACATATTTCTATCTATAAGATATAAAAATAAGCTAAAATTAGCAACTGCTTAAGGAAACAGATGGCAAGAATTAAAAATACCCCAGATGAAACTAAAAAAACTCCCATAGGTATGCTATAGTAACTAAGTCTTCTGCCATAAAGGATAAACTAGTTCAAGGCAAATTCAGTATTCCAGAACATATCAATTCTCTATATATTGTAGAACCAGGAGAAGAAAGAACCTGATCTTCTCACAGGCCTCAACTGTCCTCAATGGGCTTACAACCTTGAGGTAACACATAATACTGACCGAGAGCTCAGGCTCCACTATTTCTTTGGTCTCTACTCCTTTTTTGTTCTTTGTTCCAGTGCTCCCTGTACCTCCTGGTGCAGTTGGCTTTCCCTTTTTAGGTGGTCCACCAGTCTAAAAGCAATTAAGAAAAAAAAAAAAGATTTAGAAGAGTGATTTTTAAACTTTTCAGTTTTATTTTTTTTTAATTTTATTTATTTATTTGTGTGTGTGTGTGTGTGTGTGTGTGTGTGTGTGGCCAGCTCAGCCCACCAGGGGGCGGGGCTGGCTGGCATGTGGTGCTGGGGGATTGAACCGTGGTCCCTGTGCTTTGCTAAGCTTGTTCTAAGTAGGTGCTTTAGACCACTGAGCCATCTCTCCAGCCCCAACTTTTCAGTTTTATAGAATCCTGAGAACATCATAATAAAATCAGAGATCACCCCAAAATAACCATTTTTCATGTCCACAGAATTTGTAATTTCATGGACAGACAGAAGACCATCCATGGGGCAGAGGTGCAATCTGCAGAATGCATACAGACATTCCTCATTTAATGACTAAACTGCAAATAGCTCATTAAATGAATTGGTCACTAAACAAGGAATTATAGATAGTATGTACATTACAATATTCAGAACAAAGAAATGGTCAGGGGAAACTCCAACTTAATGACTTTGCTTTTATTTACATAAGTCTAACACACAGTACTGTAATGTATAACACAACATAACTACAGTACAATCAGCAAAAATGACAATACTACATAAACAAGATGTACTGTACAAATGAAAGATGTATGGAATGTTCAGTCAGTAAACAGGAAGGACATTAAATGAGGAATATTTGCATTAACAATCTCTCATTCAGAATAAGCTAATGAATGAATGAAAAAAGAAGGACAGACTGGGTACTCTATATTACACTTACAGATTAATTTGTAAATGGTGTCCAATGTCTTTTTTGTGGGGCACTGGGGATCGAACTTGGGGCCTTGCACTTGGCAGGCAGGCACTTAAGTTGCTGAGCTATATCCCTGTGTGCCCACCCCCATGTCTTGAAATGCCCTCAATTTTCCAACATTAGTACAGGATACTTACTAATAAAATTTACTCAAAATATGTAATTCCAAGGTGCCCCAGTATCAAGAGAATAGATTTTATTTCTCACTTTAGAACTACATGATTTGCATTGAAAAAAAGGGGGCTGTCATACAATTTCTGGTTATTTTTCCATTTACTTTGAAGATGGACAACTTACTGAATCTTCTTTCTGTTTTAGTGGTTCTTTTTTTTTTTTTTTTTTTTTTTTGCAGGTATATATACTAGTGGTTCTTAAAAGTAATTGTTTTCTTTTCCAGTATAGAGGATCGAACTCAGTGCCCTGTGTACCACTGAGCTACATCCCCACCTCTCTTCAAGTTTTATTTTGAGACAGAGTCTTGCTTAGTTGCCCACACTGGACTCAAACTTTCCATCTTCCTGCCTCAGCCTTCTGAATAGGTATAACTATAGGTATGTACACCAATACCTAGCTAGTATATCAAGTAACCTTTAATATGTTACTTGAATCAGCAGTATAGTTTAGATGTTCATGCTACATCCTCATGGAGAGATTTGATGGTTTTTCTACCCCTAAACATGAAAAATACTAGCTAGCCATGGTTGTGTATCTATGGTTCCAAGCTGCTCAGGGTGCTAAGGTAAAAAGATCATTTGAGCCCAGGACTTACAGGCAAGTATAGGTAGGTAATACAGCGAGACCCTGTCTCAAAAAACAAACAAAAAACTATACTCTGACTAATTAGGACACTCCTCTGGATTTTCCTGTTAAAGCACTCTCTGTAAAGAGAGGTATCACAATGAACAAATCTACTCATCTTTTTAAACAAACAAATGTTTACTTATTGACTTATTCCACATGCTAGTTGGCTCAGTAGGTTAAATGCTAATAGTGTCTTGATATTTTCAAAATGCAAAGAGAAAGGGACTGCCTCCACCATTACAAATTTTATTTTCCTTACTTTTTTTTAAAGTTTGTTTTGAGACAAGGTCTCACTATGGGTTCCAGAATGATCTTGAACTTACCACAATCCTCCTGCCTCAGCCTCCTGAGTGCTGGGATGATAGGTGAGTGCCAACACACGACCAAAAAAAAAACCTTTTTTAAAGAATATTTCATTATCTTCAAGAGGAAATGAATAGGTTGAGTATGGAAAAATGAAGAGTGTCAAGAGCTAAGTGGGTTGTAGTAAAATGTGGTAGGCTGGTCTGAAGCTTTTGGGACTAATTCATTTTTTAAAGAGGCAAAAGCTGATAAAAGAAAAAATAGTTGCCATTTCCCTTTAACAAAGAATAGTATACATATCTAGGTTCAAATGCCAGCTTTATAAATATTTATTCCAAAATATATCTCCAGTTTATACTATTTGCCAGAAAGTATTCTACACACAGATAGTCAAGAAGTGACAAGATCTTTATCCTTAAAAGTTTACTTTGGCCCTAGCCTTTCAAAGTCAGTGAAGACTCGGGACATAGGAGAACCTATACTGTAACATCATGTAACTCAGTTGTGTTCCAAATTTTCTGATCAAGGAGACTATAGAGCCATAGAGGAATGTGATCGATGATGTATAGCATGCCTAGGAAGAGTCACATGGAGAGCAAACATTCTCTCAGGCTTTCACAGACAGCAAATTGATCAAGCAATGGCCATGATTCATAATAATGGCTGACAAAGGATCTACAAAGTGCGGTACAGGGCTACAGGATAAATCCTGAGGGGACTTGACTGACTGTATCAGATACAAAAGTTACATTTCTTGTTATATAGGTCTTGCTTTATCTTGGTCTTAACCATCCAGCAGAAAAGTATAAAAACAAGGTATATAAAGTAACGCCATATTAATACAATGAGCTGTAAAAGGCTCAAGTCAATAACTTCTGAGGATAACCCATTAATATTATAGACTGCTAGACAGTGTTGGATTGTTTAGCTGAATTCAAACACCTATATTTTATTTAGATGCCAATAG